GGAGTTCGGGCTGCCCCTTGGACTGCGGGCCTCAGCAATGACCAGGGGATCTGCGGGGCCAGCTGGAAGGTGCGGCGTGTGCCGTGCATGGGGACGTGGCTGCATTTACCAGGACAAGCAGCGCTCCTACGACGGCTAACAGAAATAAATCAAACCACGGCCGTCAACCATATAGCGAAGGACATGTGTGAGGGCGCATGGGCTACGACGAGGGACCGAAGACAAGCTGTATTCGGGTGCCTTCAAACACGCGCGCGTGAAGACCACATTGCACACTGGTGGGCTAGCGTCCGCCAGATCAAAGATCACATTCGGCAGCTACTGCAGGACCGAGGCACCACCTTCGAAGACGACCACCCAGAATACTATGATGATGAACAGCAACCTATGGCAAATCCCGAGGAGCGGAGCTTGGCAAAGCCTTCGTGCGCCTTGGGTTCACGTCGCCGGGGCCGGTGACCAGCGCCCAGGGCGTCCTTTCCACGGGAGGCGGGGGCGCATTGCGCGGCGCTGGCTCCCGGCCCGTTTTTATAGATGCTCAGAGCTCGAACGATAGACGAGTTGAAGGCACAACGCACAAGGGCTGCTTTGGCACGTTAGATGGCGAAAAATCAGCGCCTGCAGCGGAGCGCGCGGCATTGTTCTGGGCCCTTCTGCTCGCCAAAGGTCCTGTCGCGATCTACGCAGACTGTCGGCGAGCGGGCAATTGATGGCGTCAGCGGTTCTACCGCAAACCGCAGGGGGCAATGAGGGGGTGTCGGCGACGGATAGGTCAAGTACTACGGAGACGACATGGACATGATGATGAAACCAATGTCATCAAGTGCTACCCCCGCCTCGACCGCGAGTCCGTAGCCAACGCGCAGCAATCGGCAGAAGCCAGCAGTGACACAGAAATCGCGGACACTCTTAGCAAAACGCGGAGCAGAAGAAGCACTTTACGACATCAAACAAGAAGTGCAGCGGCTGGTTGAGCCGGAGAGACTTCTCATGAAGGCACGCGGCGAGCGGCAGCCATCAATTGCGAGATCTGCAAGGATGTGGACCCGATAAAGCATGAACGCCCGCCACCTGCGTCAAGACGTGCTGCCCGCCAGCGGCGACTGCAGTTGGAACAAGAGACTGGGCGCAGCATGCTCAAGCAGAAGGGCCACTGGGTTTGCAGAGAGTGCTGGGAAACCCCGGGCAAGTACAGCGCGTCGGATTGGAGGAAGGCGAATACATGCGGTGGAAGACGTTACGCAGCCCATTGAGCAGATCATGGGCACGCAGTCCCCGTCCCCAACAACGAGATGATAGAAGTTATGGCAAAATGATCCACCCGAGCTACCACATCGCGGTCACCCACGGCCAGTGCTAGTGCTGGCGGTGTGCGCTGGTGGTTTCTCACAATAGCGACGGACGCGGGAGGCTGACGCTACTCGCGGGCGAGTGCCGAGACAGGGTCACGCCCAGCGGAGAGACAGTACTGAAGCGATTACGAACGGGGCTGCCACCAAAGGCTGGGCAGAGCTGGCCAGACGGCATGATGTCCCCGAACGGAGGTAAGATGCCCAAGGTGCGACGAGTTGCAGATGGACACCGTCGAGCTGTACGAGGTTGACCTGGGCGAGTTCACGGTACGGGTGGAGGTCGACCAGCGTCCCTCCCCCCGCATATATAGTCTGCCCTGGAGATGCAGTGAGGGGGAGGGTGCCTGCTGCTGCACACCTCGCGCCCTCCCAGGCACCTGACGGTGCCAAACGCGCGCCTAGTGTGGGGGCCGCGGCGGCGCGGTCGACCGCGGACTCCCGTGCACCCTCGATCCTCGATCCTCCTCCTACTCCTCCTCTTCCCTCCTCCTCCTCCTCCTCCTCCCTCCTCCTCCTCCTCCTCCTCCTCCTCCTCCTCCATTTTCTTCTCCACCTCCTCCTCCTCCTCCTCCTCCTCCTCCTCCTCCTCCTCCTCCTCCTCCTCCTCCTCCATCTCCTCTTCCACCTCCTCCTCCTCGCCCTCCCGTCCTCGGGTCGCCTACTGCCCCGGGGGAAAACCGTGCAGGAAAGGGTTGGTACGAAATCTCCTGCACGCAGCGGGTCTCGGCCCCGCCGGCAGGTCTACTTCTCGATGCATGGGCGCCCCCCGGCGCCAGGAGACGCTTGGAAAGCCAGCTGCTCGAGCTGAGTCTCAACCCTACACTTTGTTATCTTACCCTTTCGTCCCCCCGTACATCCGGGAGACAGGCTGTCAGATTGCTCGTGACCCGCGCCCCCAACGCCACCGACGTTTCCGTTCGACCAGGGGTCCGGCAATGCAAGCGCGCGAGGGCTTCCATCCCCGACGACGCGGGGGGCCGAACCCCCGACTGCCGATGGAACGTCGGCGCCCGCCGCAGGCCGAGCCCGCATCCAGCGCCGCCGCCCCAGTGCTGGCAGAGGCCGACCCATCATCCAGGTACGGTTTCGATCGCAGTCTCGGAGGATGCCGATCCTCGAGGGGCTGTCCGACGACGACTGGATGATGATGTGTACGCTCCTCTCAGTATGTCTTCGGTAGCAAATCATGGGAGCCTGGTGTACCCTCTTCATTCCGTCTTTAGCGTCGAGTAGCGTCTGGGAGTCGATGAGATGGGGCAGATTGAGCGTCGGCCAGCGTCGATTAGCAGCGATTAGCGTCGATTCAGCGTCGATTAGCACCGAGGAGCGTCGATTCGCGTCGATTTGCAAGAGCCGAGAAGATGGTATGGGACGTTCCAATGAGTTGCCACCGAAGGATATTGTATCGGAATATTGCATCGGAATGTTAAGCGTGTATTGGCTGACGAGTGGCCTTCGCGTCCATGCAGTAGGAGTTTAGTTTGCTTTGTCCTAGTAAGGGACATACGTTGGATCGTGTTTCTCATAACCATTGTGTTTTTACCGGTACGTTTGACCTGATCTTCGATCATGGCGATATTCGGAATGTCGGTGATCGTTTTGTTGTTCGGCTGGTAACTATTGCTTTTCTTGCGATTGAGCGTTGTTCCCTAGGACCTGCTGAAGTTTAGGACTGAGACGATGGTCGACAGCAAACTCTTAACTAAGCGGTTGAGCTAACCCTCCCGATGCACGCGCGCGCACGGGCCCATTCCCTCTACGCGCGTCCACACTCGAGATATAGCTAACGGTCGTCGGCCCATCCTGCTTCCGTGCCTGGGTTGTGGGCCGTAGGCCTCGAGGATGTTCGTTGGGATGTCGCGGGAGGCCTCTCGGGAGCCCGGTGGAGGCAGTTTTGATGCCTCTTGGGGGCCGTATGAGGGCTTCTTGGGTTGTCTTGGGGACCTCCTGGGGCCTCTTGGGGGCCTCTTGGGGACCTTTTCGGGACTCCTGGGGGCATCTTGGATTAAGTCGGGTCTGTCCCTCTACAGAGGGAATATTCACACATAGTTAAAACTTAGTAGGGGACGATTTGGGGAGTATTTTCTTGACTAGTTTTGAATAGTTTTTGGTATTCTTAATTTTTCGTCCGAAATCCGCCTGCAGGGGGACATGCCCGACCTAAGTCTTGGAACGGAAGGCTCGACTTGTCAGTTCAGGCTCCTACTCTTGGGCTCCTCTTGGGGCCGTCTTGGGGCTTTCTCGGGCCTCCCTGGGCGCCCCGAGACGGCCCTCTTGGACCGTCTCGGGGCGGTCTTGGAGTGTTCTTGGGACGGCTTGGAGCGTCGGAGGCTCGAAGAGTGGAGGAGCCCAGCAGCACTGGGAAACAATTTGGAGAGCAGTGGTTCGGGCCTCTCGGGGCCCTCTTGGAAAGGCTCTTGGGGCTATCTTGGGGCGTCTCGAAGGCTTCTTCGGCCATCTTGGATCCACCTTCAGCGTCTGCTACCGATCGTGTAGCGTTGAGTCGGGCATGTCACTCTCCAGGAGGAATATTCAAACATCGCCAAACATCAGCCTGGGGACGATTCCTCGAGTATTGTTGTGATTACGTTCGATTTTTTATTTAAAATACAAAACCGAGGTTTCGCCCAATATCCGCCTACAGGGGACACGCCCGACCTAAGTGTAGCGATTCGGGGCACCCTTGGACCGTCTGGGCGAACTCTCGGTGCACGGTTTCCCCCGGGGCCATAGGTGACCCGATGAGGAGGATGAGCAGGAGGAGGAGGAGGAGGAGGAGGAGGAGGAGGAGGAGGAGGAGGAGGAGGAGGAGGAGGAGGAGGAGGGGGAGGGGGAGGAGCTGATGCTGTTGTTGTTGATGATGATGATGATGGTGTTGATGATGATACTGCTGATGATGATGATGATGATGCTGATGATGATACTGCTGATGATGATGATGATGATGATGCTGACGATGATGGTGATGATGATGATGCTGCCGATGATGATGCTGATGATGCTGCTGATGATGCTGATGACGATGATGATGATGATGATGATGATGATGATGATGACGACAATGACGACAATGACGACAATGACGATGATGATGATGATGATGATGATGATGATGCTGATGGTGATGATGATGATGGTGATGATGATGATGCTGATGATGATGATGATGACGATGATGATGATGATGATGATGATGATGACGAGGATGATGATGATGATGATGATGATGATGATGGATGATGTAGATGATGTTGATGATGATACTGATGATAATGATGACGATGATGGTGGTGATGATGATACTGATGGTGATGATGATGCTGATGATGATGGTGATGCTGATGCTGATGATGACGCTGATGATGATGATCTTGATGGTGGTGGTGATGATGATGATGATGATGATGATGGACGATGATGATGACGCTGATGATGATGATCTTGATGGTGGTGATGATGATGATGATGATGATGATGATGGACGATGATGATGATGATGCTGATGATGATGATGATGATGATGATGATGATG